TGGTTTGTTGACGTTTCCGGGGCGGAATGAAAACAGGGCGTTCCTTGCTGCCCGTGCTGGTGTCTCCGCCCAGGCCGCTGGAGCCCTTGCCCACCATTTTCCGGATTTTCTACTTGCTCCTGGCGCAAAAACCTACATCACTTTCCTCGCTAACGGACTAATTTTTTCGTTCGCCGTGACGTTACTTAACGCCCAGTAATGCAAAAAGTGCACTTCCGGCCTTTGTCGCTCCGCGGCTGTGTTGTTATCGATTTTTCCTGGCTGGCTGGCACGTCCTTGTGCTGATTTTGCGTTCATTGGCGTTTTTGGGGGGCTGCTGTTGTTGCATTTTGGGTTGGGCGGCAATGTTTACAAGAAATTTGGCGCCTGCGCGGGCGGCATGTTTAACTTTTGAAATGCAGTGATTTCAGCTGTAGCAACAGCTTAATTAGTATTTTTAGGCTATTTTAGTACTTATAAATGCACAAATTGCCACGTAACATTATTTTCAGTTTGTTTGTGAGTAGCTTTTGTTTTTCAGATCTTGTAACGGTTTAAGGACAGTCTACTTCCAACAGCTGACTTGAGCAGAGCAAAGTTGGCTGCGATTGTAAATGCACAAGTCAGGTGTGACCAAAACGTACAAACTGATCCTGATGCTTATTTTATTTCAATATAAATTTATGTAACATATTTTAAAAACAGTTTTATTTTTTAATAAATAAATTAAACTTTTTTAATTATATATTTAAAGTTATGTTTCAGAAAAGTATGGTTAATCGATCAAAAATTGCTGCGGCATAAACCAAAGAGATAGTTCGCAGTCCAGGTGAGCTTTTAAGATTTTCTATCGATCGTTGTCTGGTCACACTGCGCCGACCGGCCTTTTCCCGCCTCCTCTTCCTTATCACCATTCGTTCTCCGTTCGTTCTCCATTCGCCAATTGGATCTTGTCGCCAAACTTTCCACTGAACTATACTACAGAGATGTCTGCTACCGAGGGCAAGGTGAGTGCAGCAACTGGAATATTAATTAGCAGGAACACACCCTGGCTGTCAATATGAAACGCAGGTAATCACATGCAAGGCCGCCGTCGCTTGGGAGGCCAAGAAGCCGCTGGTCATCGAGGATATCGAGGTGGCGCCGCCCAAGGCTCACGAGGTTAGTCCACTGGGGATTATGACGGATGTAAAAGGTTTAACTAATTACCATGATGCATGACTCCAAAAGGTGCGAATCAAGATCACGGCCACGGGTGTCTGCCACACAGACGCCTTCACCCTGAGCGGCGCCGATCCGGAGGGCCTGTTCCCAGTGGTCCTGGGCCACGAGGGCGCCGGAATCGTGGAGAGCGTCGGCGAGGGCGTGACCAACTTCAAGGCGGGCGACCATGTCATCGCTCTCTACATCCCCCAGTGCAACGAGTGCAAGTTCTGCAAGAGCGGCAAGACGAATCTCTGCCAAAAGATCCGACTTACCCAGGGAGCTGGAGTCATGCCCGAGGGCACCTCCCGTCTCAGCTGCAAAGGACAGCAGTTGTTCCACTTCATGGGCACCTCGACCTTCGCAGAGTACACCGTGGTGGCCGACATTTCGCTGACGAAGATCAACGAGAAGGCGCCGCTGGAGAAGGTCTGCCTGCTGGGCTGCGGCATTTCTACAGGCTATGGTGCCGCCCTTAACACTGCCAAGGTGGGTTCGTGGAACTTTCTCCACATCACTGACTTACCAACGCCTCATTGCAGGTGGAACGTGGTAGCACCTGTGCTGTTTGGGGCTTGGGAGCCGTGGGCTTGGCCGTGGGTTTGGGCTGCAAAAAGGCTGGCGCCGGAAAGATCTACGGCATCGACATCAATCCCGACAAGTTTGAGCTGGCCAAGAAGTTTGGGTTCACCGATTTTGTCAACCCCAAGGATGTGGCCGACAAGGGTCTGATCCAGAACTACCTGATGGACTTGACCGATGGTGGATTCGATTACACCTTCGAATGCATTGGCAATGTGAACACCATGCGCTCCGCTTTGGAGGCCACGCACAAGGGTTGGGGCACCTCGGTGGTGATCGGAGTCGCCGGTGCTGGCCAGGAGATCTCCACCCGGCCCTTCCAGCTGGTCGTTGGTCGCGTATGGAAGGGTTCCGCCTTTGGAGGCTGGCGCTCCGTTTCGGATGTGCCCAAATTGGTGGAGGACTACCTGAAGAAGGATCTGCTGGTGGACGAGTTCATCACCCACGAGATGCCGCTGTCGCAGATCAACGAGGCATTCGACCTGATGCACAAGGGCGAGAGCATCCGATCCATTATCAAGTACTAAGCATGAGATAACAATGGCTTTCTTTTCACTTTTTATACGAGTTGGCAATTGCATGCGATTGCGTAGAAAATTAAACACCCAGTGTATATGTGGGACTATCTTCATTGGGGGTCGGATTACTGCCCCGCTCGCGTTTACTCCTCATAATTGCTCGGATTTGCTTATCTGCGCTGGCCCACTGAGGCTCAAAGTTCAACCACTTTGAATTGTTCCAGATTGCGGTTACTTAATACGTAATAGTAGTATTTCGCAAATTTGGTAAAGATTGATAAAGCTATCTGATGACCCAAACTTAGTTGACTGCTCCGAAAAGTCGTGGTTACACGTTTAGAATGTCTGTATTTAAATACGCACTACAACAAGGTTTGCAGACAAACACGCGCACAGATACTTAAAAATGCTAATATGTCTAGTATGTTGTTGAATCTAACAAACATGCATGCAGTTTTGGTTTTGTCGTTACATATATATCTCATTTGAAATGCATATTTCTTATGGAACTTGCTAGCTTATATACAAGTGTCTTTTAAATAGTCTGATATTGCATACATATGTGAGTAAAACTTTAGATTTGTTCGACTTTACTTGTGACTACGAATACGCTGACGTTAAAAACATACTGCGCTTCACTTTATGAACACAAAGGAGTATTAATACGTTTTCTTAAGCCTAGGAGAGCGTGATACTATTGAGAAACTATTGTTTTGGGACATTAAAACTTAAATTTATCGAAAACACAAGAGATTGTATATAGGGAGCTATGGATTATTCTAGGCGTGGGATTCGGTTTGAAACTATTTGAGCACGGGCAGGACCAAAAAAGTCCGCCTCACATCCGCGAATTGTAATACGGGTCATCTTCGCAGGGCGGATATCCGTAAAGGTACGGATGGTGGCATTGCACTCACGACCAGCGCGACTTCTGCAGGTCGATCTGTCCCTCCAGGGTCTTGGCCAGATAGATTACGAACAACTGCAACAGGGCTATGCCCAGGGCAACGCCGGCAATCACATACAAATTCCTCTCGACCCATACGCGCACGATCTCAATGCAGCCGCTGGTCCAGATGCGCTTGCTGGCGGCGGCCACTGAGTTCGCCTGCACGCCATACCCACACATGATGTTCACCAGGCCGGAGCTGATGTCGGTGGCATTGATGCAGCAGCTGTAGGGCACTCCACACTTCTCCACTGACGGCGATGAGCAGTTAAAGTACTCGTTCTTGCCTGTGCGTTTATACGGAGAAGGATATTTATAATATTTATAAATATAATATATATATTTGACTATATTAGCTATAGCTATATAATAATATATACATTATATATAATATATATAATAATATATACATTATATATAATATATTATATATAATATAATATATATTTATAGATATAATATTTATAAAGTAATTGAACATATATATCACGTATACTTTTAGTTTCGAGTTTAGCCATGTGCATATGTTACCGAAATCGTTTGTGGCTTAAGAATCAACTACTTACTCCAATCCTGGTAGCCGGCGTTGCTCAGGCCGCAGCACTTAAACTCCTTCTGGGCAAAGTCGATGAAGTTCTGCAGGTCAGAGTCGTCGCGGTACGAGTGGATGATTTTGTCCGTGAACTGGTACTCAAGGAACGAGTTCATGTACTGCGGAAAAACGAAGCAGATGATGGCCAGCGACATCTCGAGTATGAAGAAGAGAAGCAGGCACATGGAGTACAGCTTTAGCAGCCAGGTGTTCTCGCGCAGCGCCCCCAAACAGCCGGCGAAGCTGACCGTGAAGACGATGACTCCGGCAATGATCATCACCAGGGAGATGTTGAAGATCACATCGTAGACGGTGTCCAAGCGCAGCCAGCTATAGCCGTCCTTCAGCTTGTCCATGAAGGCGTATACGCCAATGCCCAGGAGCAGGCCGCCGAACAGCCAAAAGAGGAAGTTCAGCAGGAAGATCATGTACTTGACGCACGAGGAAACGTAGCTGAAGTGGTGCGGATAGGATGAGATCCGGGGGTGCATGTAGTTGCCCCCCTGATGGTATCTGTGGTTGCTCATGGCCGCGCGAATGTGGAAGTCGGGTTTTCAGTCGAGTATCTGGATGAGTATCGTTTTCCTGGGCTTTTTTCCCAGGTTTCCTCCCCCACAGTTTTCTTATTTCTTTTTTTTTTCTTTGTTGACGCCCTCTTTGCGTGTGGTCTGTTCTGTGGCCTGCTCTGTTTTGTTTGCTGTTTTGCAAGCTTCCGACAAGTGCGGCAGTAGTCGGCAGTCCAATTGAGGTGCTTCCCCGAAGCGATTTTGTGTAATTAAACCACTTGCTAAAGTTTTTTTTTACTGATAAGCGAATTTTATGGAGCCACAAAAAATAACAAAGTGGCCGGCGTTGCCAGACATTCAGCGCACTTGGGCAGCGGTTGGCAGCGCGGCCAGCAGTCAGCTGTCAGCTGTTCGCGTGACCGTACTGCATTGTTGCCCACAATCCGCAACGACCATTCCCCGTTCGATTGGCAACGCGAGCAGCCAGGTGTTTGATTTTCAACGCGTGCAGCTGTTTTCCCAAGCAGCTTTTTTTGTATTAGTTTTTAATTTTCCGCCGCTGCGTAACATTGCGACGCACGCTTGTTTTCGCCCGCGTTTGGCGCACTCATAAACAAAAGGCCAAAAATAGCAGCAGCACCATTTCGAGCGCTATTCAGCAGGTGAGTAGTTTACCAGCGGATGGAAAGCCCAAGGACGCAACATTTAAGTGTGGGAAAATGAAGTGTTTTTTGTTGTTCTCTGCTGGTGACATTGAAGCACAATTGTGAGCGCATTTTCCCTAATTGAGTTGCGACTTTCTCTGCGCTGCGCTTTCTCCTCGCCGAGGCGTAAATCGCAAAGTACTCAAAAGCAGAAAAGCGCTCGAAAATAGAACGATAAATACGGAAAATGTGGGAAATGAAGACGGAAGTGGCAACGCGAATTGCATAAATATTAGTTCGCGTGGGCGCAGTGTACAAAACATTGACTTTTCCACCATTTTCGCCCCTCGCTGTTGTGCTGATTGAATAACCAGGCAGTGGCAAGTGCAGTTGTCAACCGAAATTAGCCGCAAAATGTTTGCACTTTCTGCTCGCCACGCACTGCGGCGCACTCGAAATTTCGCCATTCAGCGCTTTTTCGCAGGTGAGTTGCACTGGGAGAAAAGCCAGGTATAGCTTCAACTACCTGTGTTGGGTGCGGTGTGTCGCGCCCTCTGAAGCAAACTATAGTATACGGCATGCTCATCGATTGGCCAACGGCTAATTTTAGACACAATTTGATTTGATTTTATTCACTTGCATTCCATATGAACGCAGATGCGGCGCTATTTTGCGACTTTGCTCGAAATTAATTCATTGTCTTCAATTGCCCGCGACACACTTGGCTGCCTTTTCAATTGTTGCACTCGGAAAAACCGAAAATAGGAGGTGACTGCTCCACCTCCACCTCCTATTCAATTCAATTTTCGTTTTTCGGCTTTTCGGCTTTTCCTTCCACCGTTTGCTTTGGGCGCCACTCCGTTTGATTGCCGGCTGGCAGCATAAAGCCATAGAGCCATAAAACTATTTTTGGCCCAATGCGTTTCTCCACACAATTTGATGATGGCCGCACTTAACAAATCTGTTTACACCTACATTAATTAGCAGCCAAGTTTGTATACCAAATTTGTGTTACTAATTCGCTGGATGCACAACTTTGGAATCGAATTTTCAAGAGGGAAAATAGGGAAAATAAGACAAGCAAATTGTGTTAGGAAAACGATATATATGATATACGATATATATTCTATGCTATTTATGGCCTCTGTTTAATATGGGAATACAAATCGAATTGGCTTCGTAGAATGGCCAAACTTTTCTTCTTATAATTTGTTATTGTATAAATTGATTGTGAAGCCAGTATCAGGATGATAAAGCCCTGCTATTTTCATCTCGTTTATGGCCCAAATCGCTTGTTTAAAATAACAATATGATTATAAGTTTCGAGAAAGTATTTTCCGCAACTCATGGCTGATAGCGCCCAGCAAGATTTGTTATCGGCTGGCTATAAGATGGCCGCATTTAAATAGGCAAGTAAGTATGCCCAAGATTTTGCCAAGTTGAAAGTCCCTACGATAAGGGGCAGATTATGACAGAAGCTTGACGAAGTCTCCACCACAACAACTACTCAGTTTCCATTACCCAACTGCTGGCGAACAGAAGAGCACACACTCAATCCGACCGCAAACCAAATACCACCGTATTGTATTGCATTTCAGATTCACGCCAAGACAGCGACAATCCGGCCAAAAGGTATTCCGGACAAGCGGCCATGGACAACAAGAGCGAGAAGGTTACGGTGAACAAGGAGGAGCTGCGCAAGCGCCTGACCCCGGTGCAGTATCAGGTTACCCAGGAGGCGGGCACCGAGCGACCCTTCACAGGTGGGTCCGCCCTCTCCTTGCTAAACATGCGGCCATAATCATGACTAAACTCATGACAACTCCTTGCTCCACCACCACATTCGAAAACCGAAAACCAAAATCCTAATCCCAAATCCCCACAGGTTGCTACAACAAGCACTACGAGAAGGGCGTGTACCAGTGCATCGTGTGCCACCAGGATCTGTTCAGCTCGGACACCAAGTACGACTCGGGATGCGGATGGCCAGCCTTCAACGACGTCCTTGACAAGGGCAAGGTCACGCTGCACCGCGACGCCAGCATACCAGGTGCGTATTGGCCAGGCGGCCCACTTTTGGCCATCTGACATTGTTCGGCACTCTTAGTTGTTTATTGCTGCAAACCGTTTTGAGTTCTGTTTTTATATGAGTTGCTGTTGTCTTGTTGCCGCACCCAAGAGTTGAGAATTTAATTTGCGTTTATCTTAGGAGACAATATATCCCAGACTAGAGACTTATATGCCCAGTTGTCATGTGTGCATAAGAGCAATCATACGATCAACAAGTAAAGCAAGTTTATAAGTATACCAAGTTTATAACGAAGCCTTGATAACGATAACCTATAGTTACATGAATTTAATAATAGAATACTTGCAGTGCTTATGATTTTTTCCATTTTTAAAGATAGTAGTGTGCAAAAGCCATCATAAAGAGATAAAACCATAGAGTAAGAAGTTGTAAGGAGAGGCTTATTAATTAATAGCTTAATTAAACATTATAAACCTAGTAGCATTATTCATTTCGAGTCTGTGCCGTTTGTGTTGCCTTGTTTGTTGTTACGTTTTGGCTTTGTTTCGTGTTGAACTTGATCCTGAACCCGACCCCGAAACTGTTCCATTGCCCAGAGTTCACTGTAGTTTTGCCGTTGGCCTTGCCGTTGTTGTGTTACTGTGTTTAGTCTTGTGGCGGTGATTGTGACTAGTGACTAGTGAGTGTTCCTGCTGCCGTTGCAGCACCTGAATGTGCAACAGAGCGAGAAGAAGCGACTACAAATGATTCCTAACCGAGTATTGTGTTCTCTTATTCCCCTCTCTATCCCGCCTGACTTTCTCAACATTTCTTTCCTTCTAAAAAACGAAAACAAAACTAAAAAACACACGAAATACAACTAATTCCATATCGATTCCACCCGAATATCACCCACGAGTATCACTTTTGAAACCGATTAAACCAACAGTAGTCATTTCGAAAACGCTAGGCATGGTGCGCACCGAGGTGCGCTGCTCCCGATGCTCCGCCCACATGGGCCACGTCTTCGACGATGGACCGCCACCTAAGCATCGCCGCTTCTGCATCAACTCCGCGTCGATCGATTTCGTGAAGAGTGCGACGCCATCGAAGGCGGATCCACCGACGGCCTCGTCCAAGAAATAATGACCGACCGATCTGCCTGCTAACCACAAGGAATACTATTGCACCCGGAGCAGTAGTTCCATATAGACCTGCGGGAACTCCTACTCCTCGTCTATAGAGAGCTGCGTCTCCAGCATAGAAAGATATTTAGCTATTTTATAGGCGTTTACTATGCAAAACTGTTTAACGAAAAGGAAACACATAGCTTATACACAAGAACGATGTTTGAATATGTATTGCGGAACGAGGAGTGAGAGATTAGTATTGTAGATCAGCCCAGATTCCATCTCCTATATACTTTTACCTCCTCACCTATGTCTGTTTCGGTTTCAAATCTCTATACTATGCTATCGCATTGACACTTTAATAAGTTGCGCCAGTTTTTCCTTGGTTAATGCACTCTTTTCGGTTTACAATCAGTCACTGAATACAAGAACTCTACTTCTCAAAAGTATTCCCATCGTATATATAGAAAATATTGTACGTTAATAAAAACTAACCCATTTCGTAGGAGCTTACATGCTTAGCAAGAAGTTAAGTTTGCGCAAGGTTACAATGTATTAGGGATCAGACGAGGGTTCCTTTACTTCGTTTATATGATTTCCGTTCGGTTAAGAGCAATTTTCACCCCTATTTCGGTTTTAAATCTACCAAGATCATAGAGCTTTCTCCACATACTCATTTCGATCATCAATCAAGGTCGGTTGGCTTTATTTTTGGGCCAGGGCCATTATGTCTATGTATGTCTGTGTGTGTGTGGTGCTTTTATTTTTAAATATTTCCGCATAAGTATTTTATTTTCTGGTGCTGTATTTGGTTATAAATATGATTTAGACTTTACGCTTCAGTTTTTTGCCTTTTACTCACGCTCAGTGGTTTTGATTTAAATAACATAACCCGAATACTTTAACAAACATTATATCCATAAACTATTTAGAGTGTTTTAAGCAAACCGAATAATGTGTATTTTCGTATATTTTCTATTTCTCTTTTTTTAACTCGCTTCAAAACAAAAAAAAAACAAAACTAAATGTACAACGCCTGTAAACGTTATTTGGGGGTTTTGTTTGCTAACAAAAAACACGAAAAACACAAAAACACCTAACTCATCGTTGAAATTATAACACCCGAAAAAACGACACATCCATCAAATGCCTAATTAACCAAAATAATATGTGCTCCAAATCATTCGGAAAATCATTCATATTTCTGATTCGCCGTTTATTTTCACCCGATTTGTGTGATTTCATTTCATGTTGTTTCACCCGCCACCCATTGTTATTTATCGCTCTCTCTGCCGCACCTCCTTCTTCGCTCTCTGATTTGCACTCCCATTTATTTGCCGTTACTTTGCTCTTTTCTGTGATTCTTTCTCCGCTTCACTTTTATCACCCATTCTGCAATCAATTTTCTATTTCTGTTTGACTTGTTTACAACGAAAAACTTTGAATTAACCTTGCAAAACGATCAAAATAAATACAAAAAAAAAAATATTGTAAAAAAATGTCAACAAAATGCGCTACACAAAAAAAAACAAAACAAAACAACAATCAAAACGTATCCAATTAATCCCACGAAATGGCAAAATACAAACTAAATAGGGGGCAATATTTTACTACTAATCGCACATCCAGAACGCATACGCACCGAGGTCCGCTGCGCCCGCTGCAACGCCCACATGGGTCACGTCTTCGAGGATGGTCCGAAACCGACCCGCAAGCGCTACTGCATCAATTCCGCCTCCATTGAGTTCGTGAACGCGGATCCCGCCACCTCGTCCCCGCCCGTGGCCACGCCCACCGCGGCGCCCATTGCCCAGCAGTGAGAGAAACCGAAAGAGGTGAACAAAAAAACCGCCGCCAACGGAAGAGAGCACAGCCTCAGTGTGTCGTTGCTGCTAAGAATTTTTCTACGTGTACTTTCTAACTTCTAACCGCAAATGTGGCCAATTTTAGCTCGTAGTCAAGTCAATCGCCCCTACAAATTCTACCTGTGCCCCTCTGTTTGTGTAAATAGCTAATGTCTTGATTCGAAATTTGTTCGTTAATTTATACAAACCCAAATACCGAATACTCTGTAACACACATTCAACACCTTACTAATTTTAAACTGAGCGCGCTAAATAAACGTGTGTTTTTTACAATAACCTGGTGCTAAAAAGTGTGTTGGTTTTGCAGTCGTCACTAGTAATTTGAACATAGCTGTAAGTGGTGACCAGGTGAGAACGGAACAGCGGAGCCGCGTTGCCAACCATTTCAGTTGGCTTTCGTTGTTTGCGCAAAACAGATGCTGCAGTTGTTGTTGACGTGACGTAACGACCGGCGACGCAACAACATGAAATCGAATTTATTTATGGCTCGGAAGCCAATTGATTTTAATTGCAGCAAATTTCAATGTTTAAAGTGATGTGCTGGCGACAAATCGATAACAGCGAATGCACTGAGTGTGTGCGATCATTTGGTTTTGGTAGTGCGACACGTGTGTAGGGTGACTGGAGAACTTTCGGACCGAACCACCCACATGTGCGTTCTACAGGCGATTGTTTGTATGTGACTTTCAAACCAGCGAAGCAACTGTGATAGGCTGCATTGTAAATTCGCAATTATCTAACAGCGATTTCTTTATAAATACAAATCGTGCACTTCAAAGTGATAATTTCGGATTCTCAACGCGAAGAGATTAGATTGCAGCACCCGACGACGACGCCGACGACCATGGCCTGATACACCAGATTGCCCGTGAATCTAGGCAGTATGAAGCCTATATGAGCTTCACCTGTCCAGATGCAGAAAAGCCCAGCTAACGGCATCCCATTCGAGCGCTTCACGTAAGAGTTGCGTAGCGCACGTTACGTCAGTGACCGTTGCGATATTTTGAAAATGAAGGAGTGGCTAAAGATCTCCTGCCTCCTCTGCGTCTTCGGCTGCATCCGCGAGATCCGTCCATCGGAGCCCTACGTCACGGAGTACCTGTTGGGTCCCTGGCGGAATATCACGGAGCAGCAGGTGAGTGCCAGCCCACCAAGTACTCATTCAATACGAGTATAACATCACATTTCCTGTCATTCCAGCTAACGCACGATGTTTACCCAGTGGGCACCTATTCCTATCTGGTGCAGTTGGTCTTTGTCTTCCTGATAACAGATTTCCTCAGGTAACTATGCGCTGAACATTATATACATTTCCAGTTGCACGAAAAATGTATTTAATTAAAACAGACTTTTTACTGTAATTTTTTTTTTTTTTTTAAGATTTTAAAGAAAAAAAAAAGTAATTTATGATAATTAAAAAAAAATGTTTGTAATCCAGAGTCATCATATTTGAACCATTATGTGACCTACTCCAAAGTCAAATTTTTCCCTTCGCTTGTCAAAATTTGATTGTGATTCAGCAAACTGAATTTGATAGGGCAATTTAATGGCTTTGCGAACATAAACAGGCTCGATTTAATACTAAATGTATTTACTTCAAAATGTATTGTCTTATGTTTTAGATACAAGCCGCTGATCATTACTATTGGAGCCACAGGTGTGATAATATGGAGCATGCTCATCTGGACCACCAGCGTGCTGTCGCTGCAGATCCTAGAGTTCTTCTACGGCACCTATATGGCCGCCGAGGTGGCCTACTATACGTACATCTATGCCAAAGTGGACAAGAAGTACTATCCCAGAGTGACCTCCCACACCCGAGCGGCAATGTTTGCGGGCAAACTGCTGTCCGGCATCACCTCCCAACTGATGCTCAATCTGGAGCTGATGAACTACAAGCAGCTGAACTATATAACGCTGGGCAGTACGTACAAATCTAGCCCAACATTACCATTATTTATCATGCTTTTGCTGATACAGCTCAGATTATAGCCATGCTTTGGGCCTTTTGCCTGCCCGGCGTGGACAGGAGTCTTTACTTCCATCGGGAGCAGTTGGCCATTACGGAACCGCAGACCGAGCTGCCCGGGGAGGGAAGCCCGGAAGTGGTGGATCGGCGACAGGAGAGTGTTCCGAAGCAGCCCGGGGCACTGGGCCTCCTGTGGCTTCACTTCCGCAACGCATACACCAATCCGCGAGTCGTTCAGTGGAGTCTGTGGTACGCAATCGGACTGGCTGGTTACCTGCAGGTCACTTACTACGTTCAGGTTCTGTGGAAAGTGATCGAACCGGAACCTCTGATTGCATGGAACGGCGCTGTTGACGCCGTCCTCACAGCTCTGGCTGCTCTCTGTGCTTTGGCCGCAGGTTATCTGCACACTGGAAAGCTCAGACCACGAACATCTCTTCTGATCCTGGCCCTTTTGTCCGCCGTGGAGGGCGGATGTGTGCTGATCTGTTGCTGGACACACGACATCTACTGGTCGTATGCGGGATTCGTGCTTTTCGGCGCCCTCTACGGCTTTACCATCACGGTGGCGAGGTAAGCCTCATGATTTTCACAGCTACTCATATGCATTTTAACTGTCTATAAATCGTTGCAGTGCTGAGGTGGCCAGAAATCTGGAGGAAGAAAGCTTCGGACTAGTCTTTGGCGTAAACACCTTCGTGGCCCTCATTTTCCAGTCGCTTCTAACCATGATCTTTGTCACGGACACTGGCTTTGAGCTCGATCCCGTTGGCCAGTACACGGCGTATGCGTTTTACTTTATTGGCGCAGGCGTCTTGTATCTGATTTCCGTGCTGATTGAATACTTTATGTGCCGCGACACCGACATTGAAAAGCTGGAAAATTCTGTGGATTGAGTCCCGAAGCATTTAGACAGTACTTAAAGTCCCATGTTGGCAAACACAACTCGTTACTTAGAGAAAGTCTTGTTCCTAAGCGTGATGTATTCGTGCGATGGTCGATTGTATTCCCAGAATAAATAGGCCGTCTTTTTATCAGAAATTTTTTGGCGATTCTTAGTATTTAGTGGAGATTTCCATTTATGGAGCGCACAATCAGTCCCAAGTGTGCAGGAATAAAGTGGATTTCTTTAATATTATCTGACGATTACCGAACTAATTTCGCTTAATGTATAGAAAAGAGCTGATTACTGATAGGAAAGTAATCAAGTAAATAGCAACCCTATTAATTTTAATACCTATAATGAATCATATTTGTCCAGAGCCAAATATGACAGAAATTGGAGTAGACTTTAATCATTCTGAAACCACATTTGTTTATGATTGGAATCCCCTCACTGTTGTTACTATACCCGGAACAATTTCTTTCGCACTTATAAAAAGGCTATCGCTGATTATTAACTTATCAGTGTTGATACTTTGCATTAATAGATTACAGAAACATTAAAAAACAAGTGTCTAAGACTCTGAGAAATTCAGTGCAAGATCCATTTAAGTGCCCTGCTAATGGGCTAATTAGTTGATAATTTGTATGGCCACCTTGGAGTGGCAACCGCATCAGGCGAGAGCAAGTTAATCGCGATCGCGACCATGCCTGGTGTAAGCGGAAACTTCCCGGATATTCCATTACCTCTCCGCACCGCTGGCCTGCACAAAATCGGAGAGCACTTGGATCGTAAATCGCGAATGGCCCAGCGCTGATTACAAACGTCGAAGGTAAATCTCTATACTCGGCACTAGCCTGCTAACCCCTTGGAAGAATGTGCAATTATTATAATAGCTGCTCGAAGCTCCACGCTGCCAGACATACATACGGGTATACCCAGTGGGATAGCTGGTTGGCATTAAGATCGCGATTAGATTCAAGCCAACAGCCGTGACGGCATGGAGTCTTGGCTGAAGATATCGTGCTTGCTATGCACATTCGGGTTTCTCCGGGAACTTCGACCCTCGGAGCCATACCACGCGGAAATCCTGATGGGCGAGTGGTATCACGTCACCCAGGACGAGGTGAACCGATCCGTCTACCCCGTGGGTACATACTCCTACCTGGCGCTCCTAATCTTTGTCTTCCTCATTACGGACCTGCTGAGGTACACTGGCCATGCATGAATGCAATCTTTATGGGCCACCATAACCCTCTGTTTGCCTTGCAGATACAAGCCCGTGATCATCGCAAATGCCATTACGGGCATCTGCATCTGGGGCACTCTGATCTGGACCACCACTTTGGGCGGCCTGCAGGCGGTGGAGGTTTTCTATGGCTTCTACCAGGCGGGCGAGGTGGCCTACTACTCGTACATATACGCCAAGGTGGACAAACAGTACTACCCCAGGGTGACCTCGCATACCCGGGCAGCCATGTTCGTGGGCAAGCTGGTGGCCGGAATTCTGGCGCAACTGGTGATTGGCATGAAGTGGATGAACTACAAGCAACTGTTTTACATCTCCGTCAGCTGTGGGTTCCCCAGCCATCAAAGTGATTTTATAGTCAGTTAACTAATGATCCCACTTTCCCACAGCTCAAGTTGCAGCGCTGCTCTGGGCATTCTTTTTGCCAAAGGTGGAGAAGAGTTTATACTTTCACAATCGAAGCGAGGCCATAGAAGGTGGCACCAAATCGGAGGGTGGTAACCTGGAGAGGGGCTCGGAGCAAACCAGTGCGGAAGCGGGCCAGGAAAAGAAGGTACCAGCGTGGCAGCTCCTTTGGTCCCACTTCCGTAGTGCCTACACCAATCCTTTGGTGATACAATGGAGCCTTTGGTATGCCATCAGTTTGGCTGGCTTTCTGCAAATCACCACCTATATGCAGGTTGTCTGGAAGTCCTTCGCGAACGAACCAACAGTGAGTGCTTTTCAATGTTCAATGGCCTTCTAATCCTTGAGATTTCCCCAACAGATAGCTTGGAATGGAGCTGTGGACGTGGCCCTGACCCTTTTGAGTGCTGTGTTCGCCCTCCTCGCCGGATACTTCCATGCCGGACGTCTGAGCACCAGGAGCAGCCTGCTCTCGATGGCACTGCTGTCGATCCTTGAAGGGGGTTGTGTGCTGCTCTCCTGCTGGACCAATGATATATATCTGTCCTATCTAGGCTATGTGCTGTATGGAGGCCTGTTTGCCTTCACCATAACCGTGGCCAGGTAAGGAATCCTTACTTCTTGCTCGAATAGATGTAACCTAGAAAACCACCTTATCTTTCATAGCTCGGAGTTGGCCAGCAGCTTGGAGGAGGATAGCTTCGCTCTAGTTTTTGGCTTCAACACGTTCGTTGGACTCATCCTGCAGTGCATCCTCACATTTGTCGTTGTCTCGGAAAAGGCCAATCTAAACTTGAATGTTTTTCAGCAGTTTGCAGTCTACGCCTTTTATTTTATAGTTATTGGAGTAGTCTATTCTATTGTTGTTGTATTGCAATATGTATGGTCGATTTCGAAGAAGCCAAAAGCAATTCAGGAGACAAATTAACATCATACTCTAATGATGTAAAAGTGTTCATTTATCGGATAAAATTGTAATACATTTTTAAAATACCATCACACGATTTTGATTCAAATGGATTTGAATGTTGTAAAGAAAATTGGGCAACAAAGTTATTTATAAGAAATAATTCCGAAGTTATCCAGTGAAACGTCGTTGTTTTAATATTGTTTTACACTTTATTAAAATGTAAATGATTTTACAACTGTTTCAAAAAATGTAATGAAATTAATCCTAAGCAGCGAATTTAATCAGAGCGTACCATGTACATATTATGGCCACCACAAACTTAATAATATATGCAATTAAACATGATAATGAATGTCGTTATTTTCAATACGACATTCAAGAATCAGAGTGCGATTTGAACACACAGCTTGGCTAGCAGAACTCGGTCTGATCCCCGCCATTACGGAGGACCGCTGACACCCGCCACGTCATCGACTCGTAGAGCATCTCAATTTTGTCCACCATATCCTGGTCGCTGTGCCAGACGTCGTACAAGACAGCACGGAACTCGCTGACGTTCTTGGGCGCCTGATTCTGGATCCTCGGCTGGATGATGGCCATCAATTGCTCGAGGAGATTGAGGTCATTGCAGACGCTGCCCTCTGGTCCCATCAGCGAGTCAAGGAAGATCTCCTTTGGCGGCGTTGATTCATCGACGAACTTAAGATCGTCCATGTTGAAGATGTTGCGCCAGTCGCGCACTGTCCAATCCTGGTGGGCGGTGGCCCAGGCCAATCTCTTTCTTTTCGCCTCCTCACTGAGTCCGAAAGTGTTGGGCTCTTGTGGCTGTGGGCATCCCCTCGATTGCCTTGCGCCTTTGGAACGAATCTCGCTGATTCTGCGCTGCAACGTCCGGCGGCTGACCTCAATGCCGAGTCGGGCCAACTCCCGCTGCACATCGATGGAGGTGTAGTGCGGGTTATCGCTAAGCATTTGCTCGACCATTTGCCGGTTCTCCAGGACCTTGGGTCGGCCCACCTCGCGCCTCTTCTCCTCCTCCTGAACAACCGCCACAGGCGCTGTTGCTTTCGGCCTCTGCGGCAATCTCAGCGTGGCTGTCTTGCCCTCGAGCAGCTCACACTCGCGGATGCAGCTCGCCACGCTCTCCACGTCGCACTCCAGGATCTGGGCTATCTCCTCACAGCTGTTCGACCCCTTCAGGGCCCTGACAATACTTCGAACCTCGGGAGCGAGAACCATTTCGATCACTTCTGTACACTTCGAGTTCCACAACACCAATGATGGTAATTCGAATTTCGTATCCTTTATAGGGATTTTAGGCACCTGGCAGGTAAAAGTTTCTGCCCCGATTTTTGACGCTAGTCTGGACCTTAGTTTTATGGCGAGCAAGCTGCAATTACCGGGATTACGGCGTCATTTCAGGTAAATTGCTTCAGTTGGCGTCCCTTTTTATCATTGGCGGCCATTCCGTTATTCGTCTGCGGCAGGGCTGGCAACCCTTGTTTTAAGGGAGGATTTTTCGAATATCAGGATCAGCTGTTCAGGAAAATACCATCACTTAAAACTATTATTTTAAGATCTCTATTCCATAAATGCTCTGTTTTGTGTTTTCCTATAAATGTTTTATAATGTCGGATATCTTTAATTCTCGAAGAAAGCTGATAATTAAAGAGTCGCACAGTAATCTTTAGATTCTTCCTGTACTTTTAAATACATTGCAATGCAGCAGTTTTTTAAGTGCAATTATTTTAAAAGCCATCTTTTAATAAAATATAGCTTTTCGCTAGTTGATTTAAATACAAGCTTACCAAGAATACGATATGAAATGCAAAATACCTGCATGGGAACCACTTATCTTTACAACCAATTGCCAAGACGCTTGCAATTAAGTACGTTTGCTTTGTTTTGAACATGCAATTTAATCGTTGATTTCCTTTGATGCTTTGTAGAATTACAAAAATAAATATAAAAAACTTGTACATATGTGTTAGTTACCTCTACTGTAGGAAATGCATTACACTTTTTATCGAAAATTTAGAAATATATATTCCAGATATTATGTTGCTTGTCTTTTATGCTGTTTGTTATTTTCTTGATTTACGTTTTCATTACGTTACGTTACACCGTTTTCATTGGCGAGGGCGGTTTGTAAAACTATGTTCAACTTAACATATATACGTGAAGGGTGCACATTCATTTGGAATTGCAAATACCATAAAGATCAAATTTTGAGTACGCTTAAGCTCGCTAGAGTGGCTCAGCCTTCGAGGCAGCTGATTGAACTGATAGATATTAAAGCACATAATCGGGGAAAAGGCAACTGAATTAGCCACTTATACTATGTGACGATGGGAACCGTAGCTGGGATCGTAGCAGAGGGATCGGAATCGTATAATTAAATAAATAACGCTAGAGTATGCCTAATTGGTTTAGATCCATGTGCTAGGTTTTGATTTGTGTGTGTCCATTTTTGTTTCTCCATCGCTTTTGAGTGTGTCTTGTGTGGGAGTGTGGAACTAAAGCTGGAGCTGGGGTTATCGAGAGTGTGGGATAGACTGCCCGTAGTTAGTCATCCAGATCGATATCGGAGTCATCCGAGTCGTAGCCTCCACGTATTGTCTTCTGTGGGCGGTTGATGAATGGTTTGCGTTTCACATCTGGTGGCTGCATCAGATCACCCTTGTATTCAATGGCCCCCGAGTGGGCGATGCGCCACTCCAGCATCTCGGTGGCGAAGTCGTCGCAGTTGCCCAGATCGGTGAATCCGACAATGAAGTCCTTGGTCTTGCTGTCCTTCACCAGGGCGATGGTGGGTATCACCTTGATGCGCAGCCGCTGGGTCAGGAAAGGAGTCTTTTCGGCATTAACCTTGCAGAACTTGGCCTCCACGTGCTTGGCCGCGAGGATCTTCAGGTGCATGTCCACGATCTTGCAGCGCTCGGTGCTGTCGCGGTAAAAGTGGCAAACAATGTTGGGCGACTTTTTCGACATCTCGAAGAACTCTTTTTCGTCGGCCAGCTCGGTGTAGGTGCCATGACCCTAAAATAGATTAACAATTAGTGTGGGGATTATTAAGAGTATTCCGTTAACAAGGGTTTCTTTGAATCGATTATTCCTATTTCAACTAACAATTAATTCTCTTAATAAGGCTCCGACAAGTGTAGGTATGTTACATGAAAAGTAAACATATATGTACGTAATTGCATTTGGAGTCAGTAAAATAACATTTATATAGTCTAAATATCATTACTTAAAACTGGCCTATGGATTAATTTTAATACTCTGTGATTACTTAAAAGTTAACTAGGCGAAGTAAGTGTTATGGAAGTCCTAAAAGTCGCATCTCGAAGACCATTTGGTCATATGCCACTTGGAGAACAATCTCGAAGAATGTTGAACAGTTGAGTGCTACAAAGATCTCTATGGCGGAGAACACCTACGTTTCTGAGCCACTCCTGCTTCTTGTTGTTCAGGTCCTTCATCTCGCGGAGGCGCTGTTCCCTCAGGGCCTTCAAGTCATCCGAGTCGAGGTTGTCCAGGCGGTCGAGCTGCTGGTCCAGCTGCTGCTCGATGGTTTTGGCCGCCGTGAACAGTTGGTTCTCCAGTATGTTGGCCATGTTGTTCTTGTCCAGTTGCTGCTCCTCTGCGTGCCTTGCTGTTTCTCCGTTACTCGCACTCTGCGTGTGGTGTGTTCGTGTTGGCGTCGATTGGTGAGCGTGTGTGCGTGTGGTTCCGGCACAAAAGGAAAGGCGTAGTCATGGAGCCGCAGATGCGTCATGTTTTGTGGAAAATGAAGTTAAGTAAGGCATGTTTCGGGGAAAGTGCAGTGCATCTCGATGGAGGCGCACACAAATCGATTATTTCGAGTGTACTCACGTTTTATTTCCACTTATTTCATTGACTTTACTGCTTAAAAGTTTATTTAGACGTATGGATCTGTGTGACCGTTGGACTTTACTAACGAAAATATAATGGGCTACTTCGGGTTCAAAATACCATGCCAGTACTATTGTCCGTCAGCTGTTTTCGTCATATCCGCTGGTCACACTGCCGCCCTTTGATGTTATTCCAATAGTGCAATATATTTAGTTGATCAAAGGTGAATTAAAGATGAAGCCAGCCCTGACAACGGTCAATGCCACAGGCAAACACACCGCCTCCGTGATATTCTTCCATGGATCCGGCGACACCGGTCCCAATGTAATGGAATGGGTGCGCTTCCTGATCGGTCGGAATCTGGAATACCCGCACATAAAGATCCTTTACCCCACGGCTCCCAAACAGAAGTACACGCCGCTGGACGGGGAGCTATCCAACGTGTGGTTCGACCGCAAGTCCATAAGCATTGCCGCGTCGGAAAGCAAGAAAAGTATGTCCCAGTGCTATGACTCGGTCAACCACCTGATCGACGAGGAGGTGGCCAGTGGAATTCCGCTGAACAGGATCATTGTGGGCGGATTCTCTATGGGCGGCGCTTTGGCCCTGCACACGGGCTACCATTTGAGACGCAGTTTGGCCGGCGTATTCGCACACTCCTCGTTCCTGAACCGCGCCTCAGTTGTCTATGACTCCCTGGAAAACGGCACAGCGGAGTCTCTTCCCGAGCTGCGAATGTATCACGGGGAACGGGATACTCTGGTGCCTAAGGACTGGGGTCTGGAAACCTTCGAGAACCTTACAAAGCTGGGTGTCAAGGGCACATTTCATCCGTTGAGGAACACCATGCACGAACTGAAAACTGCCTCCATCACGGATCTGCAGCAATGGATTTACGAAAAACTACCTCCACTGGAAAACCAAGTGCAGAACAAACTCTGAGTGGCAAGTTTTTACTTTTACTTACATAAACAATAATAATAATTTATTTAACCCTCTATTTTAGTATTTGGCATGAAACCCGTGCATTTGGAAGCACCGCAAAGGCAAGTCTTTCCACCTGTCAACTTTTTATACTGCTCTTCTCCGCCATAATGAAAGCATAACTCCTCCATGGCCGCAATATCCCTTGCTGCGAAAATACCTAAAAATTACACATGACGAGAGAAGTCAGATCAGAATCAGCAATAAAACTCGCCTATTTTTGGTATGGGACAGTCTATTCGCACAGCTGCTATATGGCAGTTCGGTTCGCAGCTGTGATTCAGGTAGCGTCCGATGTTTCCACGTCTTGATGGGTCCACGATGGTCACCTGTTGCATCTTATCGCTAGTGTATTCATTAAGAACCAGGACATAGTTCATCAGGCCGAGTTTTTCATTAGCCTGCAAGCGTCTTTTTGCCTCGGGCACCGTTAAAAGTTCTCCAGCATACTCGCAGATATATCCTCCTTTTGGAATTTTCACAGTAGTCCGTAATCCTTTGGATCCGTATGCAGGCGAATCGAATATCTCCAAATGTTTTCTTGGGCCTAAGTACACAAGACGATTGCAGCAGGTGTTTCTACAGCATTTGCATAAGTTATTGCACTCGATGACAGGATTTGCGGATTTACGAAGAATTAATTCGCTGCCATCTCCTGTGAACTCGTATTGACCTCCATGTGGGCAGACTTTGCTGTTTTCGCAGGCTCCTATGCAGGGGCAGTGGTTCAAAAGAACGGAATTGTAGTCGTCCGCCAAACATTTGAATTCTTCACTGTCATCGCTGGGCATTAGCACAGATTCCAATATGTATTCGAGCTCATCTTGGTGCTCATAATCGTCATTCGGAGCTGTTTCAGATCCGTCCATTCCAAAGTTTGTTTACATTGCTTCCAGTACTAGAATTTGTTGCCCATTTTATGGATGCATAACAAACTCAAGCGCTTTCCAAAGAATAATGCACTTGATTACCTCGGTCACACTCTTAATTTAAAAATGTTCCCTAATTTAAACAAAAACCGTTTCGATAGGAAATTGCCTATATTTTCTGATGTGATTCATACATATATCCTTGTAGTTCTAATTGGACCGCTTACTTTTGGCGTTGCCAGACTTCTCGGAGAAAAGTAACTGCCCTGTGATGAGCGCCCATATTTGAGATTTCCCCTGCATGTTGAGTGCCCACCGCTCCACCATGGTGGATTTCCCACTCCTCCATCGTGGTGGGTTACCATTTCGGAGCGATGAAGGGGCTGATTTGGATCCAATCGAAGTTGTCGAACGATTGGCAGCACGTCTGAACTTTATGGGAGCCTGGTAGAAGTTCATCGAGTCGATGGCTTCGAAATGGTTCTGAATGTATCGATTTTATTGGGCATTGGACGCTGGGCGGAGGGACATCATCCGTATTGCAGGGCCATGGTACTTGCACATTGGAAAGTATGGATATTTACGCCAGTGTGATTTAACTAATTTTTACTCTTTGCGCTGCGCCTTTTTTTTGTTCCTCCTTATAGTCGTACGTATTTCTTTTCAGTCGGATTAGCATTAGACTTGAAATTTCGGAGTTCTTAGTTCACTTCCGGTTGCTACATTTCGCAATCATCATGGATAATCATCAACGTGAATAAATGGGAATTTCTGAAATAGTTTTATGTAAACAAACCATAACGATAAAATGGGTGCAAATTTATATACATATGTAAGCTCTGATATGTCGGACCATTGAAGGAACAATTTCGTCATTACTACTGAATTTCACTGTACTTAAGCAATGGAAAACATTTTTTTTGCATTAATACCCCTTTTCGAAAAAATATAATGTTGTAGAATTTATATATTAGTTTCAAAACCTTTTATTTTTATTTCATTTTTTAAAGTAATTTAATCTGTGTTTGAACATCATAAATATTTATATATAAAATCCTTTGCGTTAAAACATCTTTTGCATTAGCTGGAGATTCACAATAATATTTAGAAGGTGTTGTAATATTTATTTGTACTGATACTGAAACAGTTTAACAATTATACTCTTCTAAAAGGCTCCAGCGGTGTTTGTGTCTGTAAATTGGTGGCAATTAATCTGGATGAATGGAATTATGCAAAGCCTGGAACATTTTTCATTGTGTACTAATCTGAAATTATAGTTCAATGATATTTCTTTAGGTTTCTATTTCAGTTTGTTATCTTCTTACCATAGTTGATTTTATTTGCTTAGGGCATCTTTGATTTTGTCATATCCCGACTGGATATTGTCAGTTACTTTGTTGGTGAGCCTGGTAACATCATCCTCCTTTTCGTAGTAGGCAATGAAATAGACGGCTAATCCAACCACAATGGCGATCACCAGAAATCCACTGATGATTGAGATTAGCACACTAAGTGCACAGTTGAAGCAGCTAGAAATGTTAAGAATACAAAGTTATTCATTTTTTAAATTGCTTATCATAATGTACTTATGGGGGGTATAGTCATTACAACTGTACTCATTAGCTCCAAAGGGTGGGAAATAGTCTCTTTCTCATAGCAATGATGCAATACTTTCGAATTAATTACGCATGATAAGTTGTCCAATAAAAATGCACCCCAAATTACGCTAGTAGATAAATTTCCACCCCATCAGCGAGTTAACGTAAACAACTACGTTTTGAGGGCCAAGAGCTGGCATTCCAGCGGAAATGCGAAACCGGCGCCGAGCTGCCGTTTGTTGGCTAAAACCAAATGGGGCGGGATATGGAGATTCCTGAGGGTAGATATGTGTTTAAGGAATAATTCCGTCGCGCCTCGATGGAGCCAGGACTTTCTGGTGCCAGATGGTACATAAAGGAAACTAATGCGTCGCACAGTAGTAGTACGAAGTGCTCGACATGACCACATTTTTTTGTTTCTATCTCATAGATACGCCAAACGCGTGTCTTCATTTCTGGCCAGTGTACGCGAATATGAACAAATCTACATACATACTCGAATATGTGCAAACATATAAACGAGTGCCTTAGGAAGCGTGAGCTGGAATAATAATAAGTAGTCTTCTGTGGATACCATGTTGCATGTCATGTACACATATATTTCACAGCAATGTGCGTATAGAACCATGGACAATTAAGTAATTCATTCTGCCATCTGAATGTTTGTTTGTATGGATGCGATGATGATACACCATCGAAAGTGGATACTGATACTTTCAGGTAGAATAACCGAATGGATCTGAGTACAGATTCTCGTGCGGTTTGTTTACCTGCTCTCCTCATTGTTTATTGTTCAGTTGCGATATGAAAACCTGTATGTATAAGAGTTGCAAGCGAGAATTCGCACAGGGGATTTCCAGTTTTCTCTAAATTCGGCTTCCGCTTTAAAATTACAATGCTCTCATTACGCCGCCATGTAGTATATAAATAGTATAGCTAAAACAGCTCCCTTGGGAGAGCTTTCTGCGAGAACAAATGTTTTCATGGGAGTTATACGCACATTTAAGTATGTATGTAAGTAATGGGAACCGAGCTATCAGGTGGTTGCACACTTTCTTATCGTTTTTGCCGTCTTACTCACAGTTCGCGAACTACTTATAATTCATGGGCCAAAACCCAATGCTTCCCTACTTATAGATGACTTCTTACACTTGAAGAACTCACTCATCACCAACTTACAAGATGCTACAGCCCCACAATGCTAATCTAATTATTAGAACTTACCAGCAGGCTACGTTTCCGGCCAGACACTTGCACATGTTGTTCTCGTTTTAGTTGAGACGATTTCTGGTGAATATAAACAATTTGGGTCTGCAATTAAATAAATATTAAGAACTTTACACCCGACTGAGCACAGAGAAACAGCTTACAACCAAAGTCAACCGCCTTTGTCGACAGAATTTGTTTAACTAACCAAAGAGAATGAGAATGAGTTTATTCCGCGTTCGGTTCGGTTCGGTTCGAAAACTTCGCTGTCATACATGTTCGACGTCGCACAGTGACGCAAGGCCTATTAGTTCGTGGTCAGTATTAAATACATTATCGAATATAAGAAATGCATTATTAAAATGAAATATGTTATAACTAATTGTCCTGAAATTATTGAAAAAATTGCACTGTATTGATATATGGTTAGTCTTTTTAAAAAATTGCCGTGCAAGCTAGAATCAATTTTCATAATTTTTTCCCGTGAATTCATATATTTTCAATAAAAAACTTAAGTCAATTAAATCTATTTAAACGCAACTTAGACCTAAATACTGTTTGAAGTCGTGTTGCACGCACAAAACGACTGTGTCCCAAATGTTCGACTCAGTAGAAGAGATGTAACTAAAGTTGGCCAGGTTTAAAAAGTATATTCCCTATTCTTTGATTTGTGCTTGCCCTTCAGAAGCAGAATAAGTACTTCATGTGAAAAGCGTGAATGCTGTACAATCTTCTTTTGCTCTCAACTTCTCAGCTCTTATACAAATATTTAACGATTCGGGGTGAGAAGTTGAATAGAGCGTAAACAACATAAAAGAAACATTAGAATCAACCCCAGACGCATTTGGTGTGCCTTTCAGTATCAAAAGAGAATCAAGTATAAGTAAAGTTAAAGATTATCACGCACTAAATTACGTTTGCATTTATTTATAAGGAATTCCCAATACAAAAACACAAAATTCGCAGAAAAATAAATTCTTTTTGGATTAATTGGATTTATTTGCATAAGCTTATACTTAAAGTATTTACAAAAACTTGCTTTCGATTTATTGGATTATATTCGCAAGTGTTTTCAATATGGCAGGCATCTGTTTATTCGACTGCAAAATATACACTAACATATGTACGTACATACACATTTGCACAAGTTTCTGGTAGGAAAGCACTTGGTTATGACTTGTGGGCTATAGCTACAAACGTATATATGTACACAGATCCATTAGACACTATCCACATAAATATCTTAACAATTTTGGTCATACATAGTAGAGTATTTAATGCATATAGGATAGAGTTGAATACATTTGTGGTACAAATCGAGCGGCATGACCTCGAGATTAGACGAGAAGTAATCATTCTCAATACCATACCATACCACTATCTAGGCATAACGTTAGATATAAAACTTTGAACTACATCTGTCGGCTTATGAGTAAAATGAAAGCGGCTAACCGGGACCGGGTCCGGATCCGATTTCTAACGTATTTTCGGTGCTCGGAAACGAGTTGAACATATCTCAACATCCCGTAGACTACGAATATGGGGTAACATGCTGGCTTTTGGTGTATATGATACAGTATTGCAGATAGTGTTGGTTCGATGATTCGCAGGTAGGGAGCCTTTGAGGCTATCACATATGATTGTTCCTTTCTTTTTGTGGGGGTTTTCGAATGGATTGTCCTACGAGTACTGCGGCGACTCTCCGCCCGAGTTGATCTTCTTCACCCGGCTGACATCGTCGTAGGCGATGGAGAAGACGCTCTTCTTCTCGGCAATGGGATTGCGACGTCCCAGGCTGTTGAGCAGCGAGTTCATCGCTATTCCGGAATCGTGATCATCCTCCAGCGTGGATGCGTTTAGCTGTTTCTGTGTGGGATGCCCCGTCCCGCGATGCTCCACGTAGATCTTCGAGTTGGACACCTTTACTTCGTTTTCTCTGATGGGCGATGGCTTGGGCTTGGCCTCCTTGCTGGTCTTGGACTCCCTGCCGGCCTTGGATTCCTTTCCAGCGGCGGCTGCATGTGGCGGAGTCTCGGGATACATGTAGTGGGGCAGCTTGGTGGGCGCCGCTGGTACCTCCAGGGCGTTCTCCCTTTCGAAACGGTGCTCGGAGTGCTGGAGCAGTGGGTGATTCGTGTCAGTCTCGATTTTTGGTTTGTGCTGCTTGTTTAGAGCTCGATCCTCCTTCAGCAATCGACTGCCTTTTGGTGGAGATTTCCTGGGCGCTGGCTCTGGCTTGTATCTGCCGGCAGTCTCATCATCCTCCTCCACGTCCTTGGGTTGCACTGTGATTCTGGTTTTCG